ATTATTGTGTTACAAAGCTGTATCTCGATTACAATTAGTATTTCTTTTCCAAGAGTATTTCTTTTCAATTAGTATTTCTTTTTGGTGCACTGCATTAAAGAGGATATGAGGATTGAAATAAGAAAGGCAAAGTAGTACTTTTATGTATCAACCATATAGCTGTAAGTGGAAAACATAAGGGCCAAACATTTCAACCATGTCTGCGGTGGAAATTCTCAGTGGCGGCAAGGTCGCAGGCGCAGTGTTCGGGGCAGCGGCTGGCTGGCGATAAGCGACCTGGCCAACCAGCCAGCCTGACCTAGCCAACCAGCAAGCTAGCCGCCACCCCAAACACTGCACCCGCGACCCTACCGGCACTGAGGATGTCCTCCGCAGATGTAGACGAAACGTTTGGCCCTTCAATGCCAACTGGACCACAGCCTACCAGCAGGGAAAATGTATCTTCTATAACTATCCTTGTCAATACAATTTATTCTGATTTAGCTTCACTGCCGAACAGAGAGGAACACCTATGAAATTTAATTACATAGAATATCAAATAATTAGTTTTATCTCAGATACAGTTGCAAATTTCTGCAAATCTCTGAACAGGTGGGGTAGTATCGAGAAGCGCCGAACCAGCAGAAATGTCATAGAATGTCAATGAAGATCTCATCCTATATATTATGGTATCAGGAATGTTTCAGGAATGTGACCTTTGGCTTCAAAATTTCACGTTTTAAGGCCCCAGATCACTTCCTTTTAAAGTAATATAATTATATAGATTTCACCAACACTGCCCAAGCGTGAACATTTAGATGCGTTTTTTTCATCCTTCATCTTTTCACAGTTAACGTGCATTTTATCAAGTCTATGTAAAATAATACTTCTTTAAAGACCTCATCTATAGTGATTGGTTGCTGTGAGAGCTACAAAACTCATTACACCACTGAAATAATATAAGAAAGAATTACAGGTTATAAAAAATTGAAATCACGTCCTTTGTGACAAATTTTCTCTGAGTAGTTAATAAATGGGTATGTGGTGATAAAGACAAGTAATAAAATAAAAGAATACAATTAAAGTCCCCATTTACTGCATTGATTGTGATGTGAAATATGAAATGCTCTTTTAGTTAAAATATGCTTTTTACAAGCGTTACAATATTATGCTTTACCAAGAGTTGAAGAATAAAATTTATATTTTGTTATTTTTTCATTAACACTTTTGTAAATTGCACACTGTTTTGATATCAATATCATTGGTGGCCAACAAGGTCTTCTGTTAACTGTAAAAACTATTAATCATTACACTTCCCAGTTCCAAGAGGTCTTTTGCATACAGATTAATTTCTGTTTTTTATCTATTATTCCCCAACATGTTTTTAATTATTCTATAAGTGACAAACACTGACAAAATTTGTTACAAATATCTACCTAGTTTCTCCAAAATGTATTCTGTGAAAAAATATTCAATAACTGGAAAATATGCAAAATAAAAATTGGCATGATAGCTGTAAGCAGGCCGATTCATAAAAAAATTTGACCATTTTCCAAGTAAGAATTGACATAAAAATATGCATGCGAATACAAAACCATGTTCTACTTGTAACATATGACTGATAAAATACACAGAAAGTCCCATGACATTACTTAAAGATTAATACCTACCGTAATTCAATGCAAATTTTTGCCCCGTTTTCAAAGCAATGATCTGATATTATGCAATAAATATATGAAAGACAACTACAAATTCTAAAATATTAAGATTCCCTTACATAACAGTTAATTTGATATTTTTTTCAAAATTAATATCAATGTCAAGGAAGACATGTATATTTCTTACCTGTATTCTTTCAATGCTGATAAACACACTAATTCACCATGAGAATAATGACATTTCTCATCTGAAAATCTACATTCTCCATCGAGGAAATATGGACATGGCAACATTTCTCGATGAGTAGGATTTATAAACATTACACGAACCTAAAAATTTCAAGTAATACATTTAAAAGTTCATAATATACGTTGTAAACTTGTACCATGCAAAAACATGCAAAAATTATCTTGCGATCATCCTGTGATTCTGTCATCAAATCTAAGAGATCTCATAGATAGAGATACATAAAGAATTGTTATAACTCATGAAGACTCTTAGGATTGCAATACCCAATTATTTACCCAAAATTCTTTCACGTTTGTGTGTTTCGTGTCCTTTTGACAATTGTAAGTAGTAAACCAAAAAAAAATCATGATTTCTGGTTTTGAAATTAATTTAGTCTTGATCTCTTAAATAATTAATTTTGCCTCTCAATGAACAAGCTAGTAAAATGTACAATGATATCTGTCATATAGTTGTCAATATTTTGTGGAATGCAATTGCTTAACTTGTACTACCAACAGCAAAAGGTTTAGACCAGGAAAAACATTGATTTTTGTTTTCTTTGGCAGAACCAGTTTTTTTGTCATATTGTCTTACTGTCATGGCCAATGAAAATGTTATCATCACAAACAGGCAATTCACCAGACTTAAGCTTCCTCTGATGATTGTGAATTGTGATTTTCATTTATTTTTCATTCATATATGTAAGCTCCAATCCAATCCCCTTCCCTATCATTATATGAAAATTCTTTACTTATATGATCGAGCATATGGTAGCAAAATTTTTACTTGGTGATGTTCTGGGCAAACAATTTGTACTAGAGAAACAGCATAAATTGAGATGATACAAAAATATATCGTTGGCAAGTGACAGCTGATGAGATCAATTCTAATTCACATGCATTTCATTTACTGTCATTGGTAGCAGATACGCACCAGCGTACCTGCTTAAGGGTTAATAATGCACTCATTGCAGACTTATTGACATTAATACACTCACAAACTGCATTTTAATATTTAACAAAAAACAAAAATAATCATAAGTAATTTTGTTTTTATTTTAATTTACCAGTTTTGGTAATTCAATAATTTGCACATTTTACTAAACACAACTGAAATATCACCTTTTCAATAAAAAACACGATTCATCTTACTTGAATTTCTTCCATTGTGGAAATGTCAGAAGTAGGCTCTGCTCCACACACCAAGGCATTATGGTAACATGTTTCTCCCCACTGATGCTTATGGGGAGCTTGACATTTCATACCATTTAAAGATTTCAGATCATCCTAAATGAAGAATTAAGTTGTAATAAACAAAAAACAACAAAAAAAATTAAATGAGAAATGTTCAACTTACCTCAATACTTTCTAACTTTTGAACATTTGTTTCAATTTGACTGTCGTTCTCAAGCTCAGCCTATAAAAAAATAAACCATTAAGATAAAATGGGAACATCGTAAGTAAAAAGATAAACAAAAGAAAACTACAATCCAACCTTAAATAGAGCATATTCCTTGGCTAAAGGATCATCAGAATCCTTTGATAATGATTCTTGCTGCCTTATCACATTATCCAAGGTTTCTTGAGTCAAATTAATGAGTTCTTGAATCTCTGAACGCAATAAAATTAAATTTTCATGTTCAGGGCCTGTAGCACTATTAATTGCCAAATTTACCTGTGACAACTAACAAAACTAACAGTAAATAATAAATTAAATAAAATGTTCACAAACACAATGACACTCTTTACTAAAAATTGGTAAATACCAGTACGCATTTTAAATCTAATCAAATTCCAAATGATCATATAATAGATTACCTGGGATTTATACTGAGTAATTGCAGCTTTTAAAGAAGCTGTATCTTGTGTTGCCATTCTCATTAAATGTTGGTGACTAAATTGAAGTATCAACTTACACCATGTTTTTGTTGAACATTACAAAGGTAGCCGTGATCTAACAGACCAACGCATTTCAAAATTATAAATAATTAACTTTAAAAGGGTAAATTATAATCACTAGCAACATCATTCCGATCAGTTACATCTTCCAAACATTTAATAGTTTTTTTGTTGTTGTTTTTTCAAAGCTCAACCACTAAGCTCAGTCATAAAAATCAAACATTAATTAGAAAGAAATTCTTCGGCGTTTGTTGTTTAATGGTGCTCGCGCATGGCAACCCTTAGCAAGCCTAATTGCAACAACATGAATATTTTTATAAGTTCTAATGCGTTTTTATTAACACCAAAAAAACAATCAGAAAGTCAATATTACGTTCTTCATTACTGCAGTTACAGCTCAGTCAGTTGACAGACTTCAACGTCGGCAATGCCAGGCAATGCGCCCAACGCCACTCATTTTTAACTTTGACCAACATTGATGAAAAAATAAATGGTGTAATTGGTTTTGATGAGGCCACCATTGAAAACACCAAAAAGCAAAAAGAAGAACCACTATAAAATTGAAAATTCATAGAAAGCTATATATGTTTTATGATTATGACATTTTTAAGGGAAGCATATATTTGTGTGTGTGTGTATTGCAGTGCAATAGTTGGTAATTTTAAGAAACTGGTACGTTCATTCCAACTAGAGGGAACGAAATATAATTGTTATCGTTTTTCGTATATGTACCAAAAAAAATGAACTGAGTAAACCAATCCAGACGGAATTCCTGAAAAATTTGTACCCATTCTTAATGCCTCATCTTTTGGCTTTATGCTGTAGCTTGATGCCGTGCATCCCTGCTGATGCCAAGCAAAAGGCATCTAACAAAAGCATATTATAGTACAACCCATTTGTACGCTCCAGGGAGTATCATATCGCAGAGCAGCCAGTTTGTTTACGGTATCGCATAGTACAATCGGCCACAGCGAAGTGCTGCAGCTGATGTGACATGTGCAGCGATACAGATGGTTAGATGCTGGTCAGATGGTGTTGAGCTGATAGATTTTTAAAAACTGTGTCGCGGGTATACTGACTTCTGAGCTGAGTCAGAATGAACCTCAGTTGAAGCTTATTACCTTTAGTTCCACCTACTATATCGTTAATTTGTCAGATTGTGGTGGTTGATGTAAACAACATGTCAAAAAAGAGTCCAGGCGGCCCCGTCAGTAGCTTGTTGAAGTATCCTCAAGACTCGCGGCAGCAGATCTGTCGCAGTTTGATGCAGCGTAATAACAAATGATTGGATAGAATAAGTATAAAACCTAATTAAAGCCCCCACTTCTTTTATTTATAAGTATCAAAAGCTCATTATTTTGCTATGACTGTATAAATGTGCAGTTTTTATGTGTACAGTTTCTATCATTTCTACCAAAATAAGTTAAATTTTTTATAAGTTCTGCAGTTTTGCGTAGACACAAGAATAATGAAACATTGTCCTTTAACATAATGGGAGTTTTAATTTACTATCGTTTTTCCCTTAACATCACTATCTCTACATGTTGCAGTTGCTGTAAATACAATAGAAGGAAAACCCATTGGAGAAGGCGCATTGGAGAAATTTTCTGTTCAGTATAGCGACATTAATGTTTTTGATTTGTATGCAATTGTCTTAAATATTGTCAAAGTTATAATGAAACTACCAGTTGGACATACAAAAACAGAAGCTCTGAAGGAGAGGTTGAAAGAATCTCTGTAAGTGTTTAGAATTGAAATAGTTTTCTTTTTTTGTTTTGTATTTTTCAATAGAGAAATTTTGAAACAATTCATCATTTCAGGTTTCCTGAAGAGGTTGCTGCAGAATTCATGAATATTTTGTGTGATCCAAGAAGAGAGACCTTTTTTAATAAAGTTTGTCATAATACATACAACTCTAAATTGACTCGTTTGAGATGGAGAATAGATATCACAATTTCATCCAGGCAAGTGTGTGTTTCCATTGTTAATTGTTCTTTTGACAACACACTCTAAAAAGGAAAATTTTTCTTACAGTATTTTGTCCAGAGTGCTTGAGCCGTGTATCTGCATTGAAATGATTTTAAGCAATGGTTCTGTAATTGTATTTGAACTTTCTATGGCCAAATTTCATTATTTGCGATATAATGTTGCAACAGTTTTGAAAGAAATGGAAAGTTTGCAAAATAGAAGACATGTGAAAGGAGCTGTATGAACCAACTTAATGTAGGCCATTTACAACTTGAAAATATTGCCTTTAATTTTACCAAATCAAAGGATTTATGATGAACGTTCATTGAAATGGATTCACTAACACAAGACCAAACCAAAATATTGTGTTAAAGTTAAAGCCAAAAATTCTTCAATAGCATCAGGATTTGTTGGTTTTGCTAGTTCTTACAATAAAAATATAAAGTTACATAAAATGTTTTGAGATATATTGTTACTTATTCATTATGAAGTACATTGTTCTCTAATACAGAGTAACTTTAATAATATAAATACTAAAGATGCACTTACTGAAAATTACTCTTATCATAATTAAAAAAGAAAATCTGCATATTTACTTTCAATGGCAGCAACTTTGCTGATGTACAAATACCTTCTACAGAAGTGCTATATGAGAGTATTTAGAAACAAAATATTAAAGCCCTTCATTTATTACTTTGAGAGGTGCTGAAAGGGTTTAAGAACATTTGTATTTGCTTATGACAATTTTGACAAGAGCTCCTCTCTAACCACCTGAATTGTAAAGAAACATGGATGTAGTAGTTCAGTGTAGGTTTGTTACTTTGAATTTACTCTTGACTGTTTTGGTCCATTTATGCGATGTAAGATGAGTAAATAAACAAAATGCGCTAATTAAGTATTTTCCCCTTCAGGAGGAAAGGGTTTAACTATCTGTAATTGGAAATTAAACTTATTTCTTCAGCAAAACTACCTATCCAAAATTTAAAGATTGAAGAAGAAAAGGCAAACAAGTTTTTGTGAGTAAATTATATTTTACCACCAAATTCAATTTCTGCAACCAGTCACTTACACATTCCAAATCAATTAGGAGCATTTTGTTAACTTACTTTTAATGGCAATCTTTTAATGGCAGAAAAAATCTTCCTGTAAACTTTAACTTTGTTGTTGTGAAACAGTGCAGCCTGCACATAAGTTTCTATCACTGCCAAAGTGTCAAACTCATAATGCTGTCATTGTTTTTTCTCAGATGTCTAATGTAAGGATCCTTTGGATATCAATCCTTTGTTATGAAACTAATTTCAATGTCTCATTTTCAAAATTGAATCCGTTCTGTTGCTTTTGTGATAGTCAATTGAGCTTTACCAATGGTATTCCAGTATGCCTCCATTTAAGCGACAGGATGCATGCCATAGAGACACAATTGAATACTAATTTGCTGCAAGATGTGTTCAGTGTGAAATGAGTTATGTATGATAAAAGTGGTAAAAGTCCTTATACCATATTATCAGACACTATTTTTTAGACAGCTAATATCGTCTTTAGCCCATTTTGTCCCCTTTGCCCTTTTTGGTTATTTTGGTCCTTCTGGTTTGGCAAAAGTATATTGATTTCTTTGTTGAATTCATTTATAAGAACACTTGAGAATAGTCTTACTTTTAGCATGCTAGGTATGTCTTAAAAGAGCAGCTTTTAGTAATAGCTGTCTAAAAAAGTTTGAGAAGCTCATTAAAACTAAAAGTGGATATTTTGTGTTGTCCTTGCACATCAAACAGTAAAATTTTAAAAGTGCATCATACTGTTTATCTAGGGTAATAATATTGCAATTTTATTGTCTCAATTCTATTAAGATTTTTCCTAGAACAGATTGAAAACAACTGAAACCCCAACCATACTATATAATACTAGTAAGGCCTGCGACCTCCCTAGTATTATATTAAGAGAGGTGTTTTATATAAAACTGATCCAAGGAAACCTTGCTACTTTGTCATTTAGAGTCTATCATCTACAATTAAATTATGTGCACCCATTATTATGCAGAAAGTCAGAAGCATTCTTTGCAAGTAAAAACTGTTATTAAGTACATGGGGTTCTTTTTCATTTTATAATGCAAATGAGAGTATTGATTCCAGCTAGAATAAAGCCTTATAATAATGAACTTGCAAACTTTTGAAGTTCAAGCATTTAAAAAAATATGTATATTCTTTAGTGTATGAAAAACTACATACTTATGACTATAGTCATAACTATAGCCCAGAAGTTCAGGCATTTATTTGACCTAAAATAGGCAGGGTATTTATTTGTACAAAAATATGCATGCAAGAAAGGCGGCTAAAGTAGGGGGGGAAAGCACCAAAAATATTAAAACATCATTTAAAAGTAATTATAAAGAAATTAATAATTGAAATGATTCACATTTTTATTCTAAAATCAACATTAGCACTTACTTCCTTTTCTTTGTAATCTTGATTGCACATGACCATCCGGATTTTTAAAACCTAAAATATGGGACAGAATAAGGAGAGGGAATACATTTCACCACACGTGTACTCTGAAAAATTAGGAATAAGAAAATGGTAAAATTATATTTTAATACGGTGAAATCAACATTGAGTTTTCCTTACTGGGGGTGATTTTCTGAACATTATTTTTTTTAAACATTTTCTATATACACACCTAAAGTTAATTACAAAACTTTTCTTGAAAAAGTTATTTTATTGCATGTTCTGAATCTTTTGCAACATAAGTTCAATACGACCTTTCATAACTGGTTGACCTTTCCTTGTCTTCTTGTTAAGTATCTTGTAGCGTTCTGCTCGTTCGGCTTGAGCACACTCCCATGCTGCTTGTCGTTCTGCTTTGAGTCGAAGAGCTTCCTTTCTTTGTGCTTCTTTTTCTTCTTTTTTCCTTTCATATTCATCCAAAGCTTCTTGATATCTGCTCTTTCTTTTGTTCCTGTATAAATTAAAAATATAATTTATTAAATTAATCTTATACGATTTTTTGAAAAAAATTAACCAAAATGAAAAATATGAAAGATAAATCTTACTGCAATATTCCAAAAAGCTATTAACCCATTTCTGCCCAGTGCCAGAAGTGGAACAAACATGAAGCTGTCATTTGTTGACCTTTATCTCCTGTTGCTTCTATACGTGTGGTACTTTGTTCACACTCACAATAGAACTAGAAGTTGCATATCCATGATCTTCTCTCTTTTTTTTCTTTTTTTTTTCTTCTTGCAATGTTATGAAGTTCGTCTTTTTATTTACATTGGAATGTTAAATGTGTAAGATGGGAGCATATAGAAATGATTACGCATCCATATATTTGAGAAACTTTAGTAAAATTATAAATGTTCCTTATGTGGAACACTGACAATAAACGATACCATCCTTTTTGCTTTGTCGTACATTTCTTTAGAAACCTAATTGCTGGAGAAATTCTACAACTTTCTGAAGATCTTGATTTTTCAAGTGCTTGTATTTTTATTACACCTCCCAAAGATGGTGCTTTTTGAAGAAGATAGTGCTGACAACGATGAGGGTGGAACAACAAACAATCACTCAAGGCGTCAACTTCTGATAGAAGAGGAAATGGTGATTTTTCTCTTCAACAAAGGTGTTTAATTATATCACTTTGAGAAAAAAAAAGCAAATCTGAACTTTTGGGATTCGGATCAAAATGTTTGACCACTCTACAATTACTTTCAGACAAAATCTGATTTCCAAAATGCTTCTTAATGTATGCAAATGAAAAGGAAATATTGCAGAAAACATTATATCTCCCTCCTCAATGATACATAAAAAGTTTGTATTAGACATACATATGAATAACTGCAAACAAAGTATTTTCATTGCATAATATTCAGTAAAATCTGTCTACACCGGAATTGATTGGGGAGACACAAAAAATCTGGTTTAGGTTGGTTTCCGTTTTTTGACACTAGTTACATTGACGTTTCTGCCCTGAAAATAGTATGTTACATGACATAATAAGTCACTTTGATAATTATAATTATCCCAATAATCATTCTAACATGTATTTATGGAAGAAATCGCCAATAAATTAATTGACAGCATCAGAGTTGAAAAATATACACCTTACTGGCTGTATTCAGACAGCTTGCTGACTGTTTCAATGCAATGAATTTCTGATAACCTCGCATGACCTTAAGCAATGTGTATCTGTTTGAGAGGTTATGATTCTCAACATGGGGCGAGGAGAGACGTGAATAGAAGCCATACACATACACTTTCCCAAGCTCAGAAAGAGAGGACAGGAATTACCCTACGGCCTATGCCTTGAGAGACCTGGAACCCCAAGGTCTAATTCTACACTGACAGCTGAAGCCTTCTCTTCGCTTGCCACAGAGATAGAGAATTCAAAACAAGCTTGCAGATGCATTTATTCCAATATGAAAGTCTTGCTGCCATTTGCATTAAATTCATAGGAATTCCATTTCATAAAGATATTTTTACCCTGCAGGATGTGAAAAACCATTTCGTTTCCGCATTGGTGAAGTTCCGTTTTATGCTGCGTTAAATGCCATGTAACCTCAAGGGCCACAGAAGTTTTCCGGTTAAGGCTGGTTTCCGGCTTGTACAGGTTCCAGTTTAGACATTTTACTGTATATACAGTAAATTTATTCAATGGGGAATCGCAAGGAACCAGTATTTTTTTTCTGTATTTGACAAGATTCCGCATTACACCATGAAATACTGCAGAATTTATGTTTGGCAGGACCTTGATTTGGTACACATTAGACAGCTGTCCACATTATATATATTCTGCATTGGGCCAGTTTTACTTCATTTCCAATAAAATTTACTGCAGTGAGTAATGTATTTATTATGCTTCAGTAGTGTACATGCCAATTTGGAATACCATTTTGTGTGGTTTGGTTCAGCAACATTATTGCTGCTACAGGTGACTAGTTTGTATGTAATATACTGAGTTTCTATGTTTGATTTACTGATGTTTGTTTAACATCATTTTTGCTGCTGGAGGCTACAATTAGAAACTATTTGCATCAGAAAATGAGCCAAAATTTGAAAATAATCATCCACTGCAAGGATTTGACTGTTCCGGCTTGTAGCCCACATCTTTTTGTTTGCCAGTACATAATCTATAATACAAGCACTTCCTCGTGTACTCCATGTATATTTATGGATATTTCGGTGTCTGTAAAACGTATTTGTTACTCCTAATTCATTAAATACTGCAAATTGTATTAACGTATGTCCATTTTTATTTAAAATGTGTTTGCCTTGTGTTTCAATTATATTAGGGGTAGGAATATTTCCGAACCTGGCATTATAATCTCCCAATTTGACAATACCACAAACAATTTTCCTGCTCTTCTTGCACATGCACAATGTGGCACTAATTATCATGGATAAATTGAGTAATATCAGAAAATAAAGTTAATTCACTCACTCCATCTGCCTGAAATAGCATTACATATAAAATATCCTAAATCAAATCCAACACCTGAGAAGGTGGGTATAATGGAGTGTAGAAGTTGGTATACCTCAAGCTTTGTTCCTTTGAACGTACACAAAGATAATCCAGGCATTGACAACTGTCATATTTGTTATTTTATATGTACATAAATGAAAATACATTAGTCTTACAGAAGAATGTTTGCAGTCATTCATATTCATGTCGAATACAAACTTTTCATACATCATGGAGAGGAGAGAGAAAACAATCACTTTCATTTTGTAATATTGGGAAGTGTAACATTTCTTGCAAGATTGAGGTGCCAACAACTGAATATTTTCTACATGAAAGAGAGGTATCTTATCTTTTCAGTTTTGAAGGACGCAAAATTGAGCCACATTGGAGACATCTCAGAAGAATGGTATAATCAGACCTTGGCGATGACATAAAAGTTGTATAGCATAAAACATAATGCTTCAGTGTGCACTCCATGATATATTCACCAGTTCCTCTTATTTTTAAAAATATGCTCAGATGCATTTGATAAGGAGTGAAAAATGTTTAATCTATTTAGATAATTAGAAATCTTAAATTTCATACTCTAATCGTAACATAGAAATTCTCCTTTTGATATAAATTTCAATACTAATTAAGTCTTAGATTAATGATTTACCTGACATCTTCCCATGATCCAGAATTAAATGAGAATGAAGGATCAGCAATTTTCATTTCTTTCCTCAATACTTTGCGATACTTGTGCAGTGCAGCTTTCTTTCTTCTTTCTTGCCATTGTTCAACTACACAAAGTAACATTGCAAATAGGAATTTAGAATTTCATTGTTTGAAAGGTCAAACAAATGTCCAAGAACAAGTATTACAATTGGTAGTTGAGAGTATATAAAACTTACTTTTTTGGTGTTTACTGTACTTCTGTTCACGCCACTTTTTCTTGTCGAATGTTCTTTTCTTTCCTGAATCAGTTCGGTTATCACTAGCACATTCATTACTACCCTCCATTGAGGAAAAAAAAATCAATCCAACCTATTTGCGGGTCAAGAATTGGACTTCTTGGTAAATGCAAAAATGTCAATGGGAATTAGTAGTCAGTGGACTGAAACTGTACACTTGCCGTACACTTAATGCAAAGCTTCAACAACACACGTGCTTTTTAGTGTCAAATCAACGCAAATATACGTACTGAAACGCACTAAAGTGTGTACTTCGATTTCTTACTTCCACCTTTTAGTTGGACTTGAAGTCAATTATAGTAAAAGGTTAGGGGCCGTATTTATTTTATATTACATTACTTAAATTTATATTAACCAGTGAACAATAAAGAACTCTCACCCTTTACTATACTTCGATTTATTTGTAGTGACACTTGACGTACGCAGGTGTTACGGTGTCATCCAAACGCCAAACATCAATTAATTGACAAGTGTCATTGTAAATAAATTGAAATGTAGATGGTGTTGGGAAAGTATTAAATACAATACAAGGAAATTGTATTATAACCTCCTTGTCAAAGTATGTGTATGCGCGTCGTTATTGGCCGAAAAAGTCCAGTTAATCAACAAAGTTAAGCCAATCTCTGTGGTGCTTCTCTTTCGTACCTCCACACACCGCAAGATGTCGCTGAAGCTAAGTATGTCCGATTCTGGTTAGCCGCCTGCATTATTTGTAATTACATTCCCCCCTCCACCAATCTGAATATAAATTATAGTTTTTTTTAATTTTATTTAATAACACTTAATGTGTGGCCTGACAAACGAGTTAGAATATACTATACAGAGTGGCTGTCCCAATAGTTACAACGCTCATGATGGAGTCTCGCCGAACTAGTAGCCGCCATGTGTTTGAAGTCAAAATATACGAGTGGCGGTGTATTCAACCGTTATACTAAATCGACAATGTTGTTTGTACCACAAATTATTTCTTTATTGTTTTTCGTTTAACGGTATTGCATTAACACTCATTTAAGATTTTATGCTAACTAAAATATTTCAGTAGCTTCCATTCTTATGACAATAATCGAGGAAGCAACATGTATTTAAAATTTCTCAAATCGTTCTCATAACATATTGTCATTCCGTTTTTAAATGATTGGGTTTTGATCGTGAGAACACACAATAAGATTTTTATTTTTCGCGGACCTCGCCCACACGTCCGTAACCAGCGCCAAACGTAATGCCAGAATTCTTTGTTTCTCAGACGGCGCTATTTTGACTGCAAAAAACATGGCTTCAATTTGCTTCAATGATGGAGGCGTTTCAGCCACTCTATTTAGCATATTCTAGCTCGTTGGGCCTGACATATTCATGCGTATTTCGTAAAAAATACGTCAATGTTCCGCGAAATGCCCAGAACACGGTAGTTGAGGTGCGTCTGTCCTATCACATTTGTTATTTACAATATTTGCTTTTTCGGTTTATTTACGTTGTTGCTGTGAATTTCGTCGATAAATTCTAAAATTTCTTTCGTCTAAAATTTCTAACTGGATGGGATGATAAATTAAAATTTTAATGCAACTAGATAATATTTTAACGTGTTCTTATTGTCCTAATGTGAAATCTCTGCGGCAACCGTACACTTTTATTGGGTAATATTAATTCCCAATTCTTAATTTTAAACAACTTTATTTTTGAATTTTTATATCTTGAACGTAAAAGTTTTGATAAATGAGAAACATTTCTCCTGTATGTTTTGTTTTACTCAGGGAGGGAGCTATCCTGACCTGAAACCCTCCTCTTTCCGGGCTTGGGACAGGCAACGGCTTCTACTGAAGTACTCGATCCCCTATCGCCCATCGCAGGCGGAGTTTGTAGCATGAATGCCTCAAGAAGGCATTTGACCGAGTAACGAGACGTAATCACAATTTTGAGCAACAAACTAGTGCCTAAAAGTTGTCAGAGACCATTTAAGCTATATATACAGACGTCTAAACTGTAGTGAAAGTAGGAGACCGAACTACAGATGAAATAGAATGTGCGGGTGGAATACCTCAGCGTAAATCCTGAAGTTCAGTAATCTTCAACTTGATAATGGATAAACTAATTAACAGCGTAAAACAAGGAAGGCTACATAGTGGGTAATAACCAGATAAACATTGTCTGCTACGCAGATGACGCAGTGCTTATCGCAGACTCTGAAGATACTCCACAGAGACCATTGTAAAAAATTCATAACGACACGAAAATTATTTAATAAAAACCAAAACCAGAAAAACAAATCGAGGGTAGTATCCAAGGAGCCAGTAAGAGGTAAGTTGGAAATAAAAGGCAAAGTCATCGAGCAAGTGATGAAGTTCTGTTAAGACGTTTGTGCACGACATATCGGAGAACATTATCGACCTATCCTTCACGTCTCGTCGCAGTCAGTTGTGAAAAGGACCGCCAAGTAGCATCTCTGCGTACGCGCCTCTGCGGCCAAAATTGGGAAGGATGGATTGGGTTGGGGTTTTAGGACACTTCACAGGGGTTGGACGTGATTCTACGGGAATCGAACCCGGAACCTCAGAGGTGCAAGGCAAGCTACTTCCCCCTTTTCTTTCTTTCAGTTCATAGAATGTTAAATATATTTAATAAAAATTGTAAATTATTAGTTATCTTTTATTATAATTTTGTTGTCAAATCATGTTCTTGTACTAGAAAACTGATGATGGCTAAGCCATCGAAAGTTGCTATTTAAATAAATAATGTTGGCAATGACGACTCATAATTACTTCATTGTAAATGCCAACGAAAACTCACCACAATACTAACAACAAGCTACTTAGCCACGAGAGCTCGTTTCGATGTTTGGAAATGCCTTTGTGCCACAAACCGAGTGAGGTGTTAGCTATGAGATCAGCTGAGAGTCCCATTTCTTGTTTTATTAAATGCTCTTGTGTAATTTTAACCCGTGAAATATGTTTTGTTACTATTGTAACGAATAATGCATCATCTGCCGGGATTCGCTGCGCGGATTGCGTCTTCTGCCTGCGTCCCCCTTCCCCCCGAACCGGACGGTTCCGGGTTATTCGCGAGTCGTGTGGCGCACGTTCCCGATGGCTCGAGGCGAGCGCCGGCCAGGTATAAATTCGCCGCTGCTGGCGGCCGAGTCAGTCACGCAGTAAGCAGTCAGTCCGTCTATGTAAGTATGTAGTGTTCTGTCTGAAGTGGAAGCTGAGCTGTGAAATATGCATCGCGATAAACAGCAGTGCAGTGGGCCATGCGGAGTGAATTGTGGTCAGCGCAGTGGACCCTGGACAGTGCATCGGACCGTGCGAAATTGTAGAAGTGAACAATGTAAATAAATAATCAAGAGAACAGAGCCGTGTGTAAAGAAAATCATCAAGTGAAGAACACAAGTAATATGTAACCCGTTCACCCTAATTCACCACCGGGAAACGTTACACTATAATCGTAAACCATCTGTTTAACGAGTTCAAATTGTTTAAAGAAAAATGCATTGCTGCATTGCACACAAATCATTATTTAATGTAAAAAACAATATCACATCGTGCAACAATTGCAAATGTCAAAAGACTGGTGAACGTCGGGGAAGTGTGAGGGGAACCTGACAACGATGCGCATTTTGCAGCACATTCCCCCCCCCCCCAAAAAAAAAATTATTGTATTATATATGCAAGTTAAAGATACAGCATTTTACACATTTTGTACTTCTAATATTTGTATAATAAAGAGTTTTTTTAAAAAAGAAAATTATTATTTTGATCGAAGTAACAAAATTACTGTCAAAAATACAAAGAGAAAAAATGTGGCACATATATGTACCAGAGAATATATAGTGAAACGTTTGCTGAAAATGCTTGTTGGTACTCATATGTACCACCCAATATTTTGCATTTGAATAACGTAAAATGGAGATATAATTGTTTTTTAATAGAAATCAATAATAATCAAATAAATAAATAATTAACTAAAACATTCAGAATTTTTAGACCCAAGTACTGCTCTAAAAGATTAATTATGACATTCTTGAATTCATTTTGCATTGTCCACAATATTCTTCTGTCTTTCCTTTGGCAAGGTGATGACTTTTATAAGAAAAGCATTGTTGTTGTTCTCTTTCCTACACTTCCCAGTCCCACCAAATGAAGCACCTCCCTGGAGTCAATATTTCCTTAATATATGCAAGTTAGTAAATGGAGGGTACTAGGCACAACCTATTGGATTGTTATCCTCCTAATGGAGAATGTTCCATGAAAACTATTTTATGAAAATGATAGAATATTGCTATAGTAATTCAGAATGTTATTCAGGATGTCCATTTTTAAAACAGAGTGTTCAGTGAACAGTATGCTTCATCTAACATGACTTCCCTTCAGGCCTCATTTAGTGGCAATAGTACTTTAAATAGGCAAAATCACTTTGCTTGGCTCTAAACTGCATTCTCCAACAGCGTGCAGAGGCTTATAACCAAAGGGAAGATTAACCAGTTTCCCATGCCCTCAATCACCTAACTTCTTTCTAAGGAGGTCTGTAAAATCCATACTCAATACCAAACATTAGGTGGCGGGTGTCCAACTACCATCCTATCTGCAGATCTATAGAGGGTTAGGACCCATTTTACAGATAGACCTTCCCAAAATTTTTAAATAAGCCTTTGATAACCCGTGTACTGGGTTTCCCACACTGAACCAAATGTAGCTCTTCAATGTCCAGAAAACAGTGGAATCAGAGACAGAGAGACTGATATTTTTTTCTATGATTGATATGCATTTGGGGAAAAAGTCATCCTAACCATCTGGCAACTCTGTAAATGGTTCAACTTAAAATCAATAGTATTATTAAAATTATAATTTCATTCTCCTTTAAGTGCATATTGTTTCCTATAAAAATATGTTGTATGTTTAATGGGAAAGGGGGCCCTGACGGCCCCGCAAATGTAGCTGACCTCCCTTCTTTTAGACTGCGTATATCGTGTATCTCTACATCAAAATAATAATCATTCACACTCTAATCATTTGGGCACACGTTATCAGGTAATGAATGCTAATCCAATGATCTTTCTTCAAAAACAAATATAATTAACTTATATACATATTAACAATGTAATTACATTCATATTTACTTATGTTAATCACAGTAGTTCTTTAAGGTCAAACGTGGAACAATGTTCATGCTCTGCAATTCTTGGAAAAGAAGCTTGCATGCATATGGTATTTCTATAGATGATACCGCTGCACTGGACTGACAACTGTGACACCTGGATACAAGAAATACATTGAAGGTAAAAAATTGCCCCAAAAATATGTATAATACAGCTGTAAAATCATCAAAAAACTATCAAATACAGCATGAAAGTAGTAGTAATCAAAGGAAGTTAGCAAATACAGAATGTAATTAAATCAGTACTACAGGTTACATTAAATATTGAAAATTAATAATTAAAAACAGAAATAAGATCTCTTACCATCCTGAGTATGCTAATAGACCACATTGGTTGCATACATCTATATTGAATATATCACTGGAGATCATTAATCTTTCAAGTAATAACATGCTGAAAACAAAAATCATAACTGAGATAAATACAAAACTTTCAATAAATGCCAAAATATTTATTTTCTGCGTATTCTAATTTGAGACAGTCATTGGTATAGATTAAAAGAGAAACACATCAATTAAAACACACATATTTGGATTTTTTAATTACTTGTGTTACGTGTACAATATTTCACAAAACAGTTTTGCACATCTTCAGGTACATCTCTGTAAACCCACCCACATGCATGTTTGTGTGCATGTATGGGGTGTGTGTATACATATATATTTTTTTAATTATAATTATTATCTAACAATAATATTGCTCTCGAACCTTGCTCCATAGCCAATAAGACAATCACGTTCCATTTCTCCCAAACGTAACCCTCCTTCTCGACTCCGCCCTTCAGTTGGCTGTCGAGTTAGAACAGCTCTTGGTCCACGAGATCTAGCATGCATTTTATCTTGAACCATGTGTTTCAACTTCTGGTAATATACCTAAAATTGTACAAATTATTGCAATATAATTTAAACATTAATAATAGTAATTATTATTTAGAAGAATATAAAGAGTAAGGGGAAGATTTAAAAATTTCAGGAAAGCCAGTATAGAAACTAAATAAAAGTAAAATGGTAGAAATAAGAAGTTAAATGAAGGGCAAAAAACCGAAATGCTACATCATCAGTAAAAAAATACAAAACATGTGACTCCATAAAACTCACTGGTCCAGAATAAATGTATGCCAAATATGACTCTCCTGTGGTTCCAGAATAGAAATAATCTTTGCCTTGGTAATTGTAGCCATGTTTAATAAGCTCATCACAAACTTCTTCAACTCGAGAACCACCAAATGCTGTAACATACAAAAAAGAAGTTTTGGCATCCTCCAAGGAAGTTAGAAGTGTGGGTTCCTGGGTTGAAATTTGGCAAGTTATATTTGTTTCATGTTACCTAATATATAAAAATCCATGCTTATTTGTTTTTTTATGCACTGGCAAACCATTCAACCTATTACGATAAGGTTTTGTTATGTCTTTATTACACTTGTGTGAGGGTTATAGGGGCAGTGCAATAAGAATGCGCTTACGACTGTCTTTCATAGACGCAAAATACGGATGTTTATTATGATTTATGAGTTTATGACTTAAGCGCCCCTGAACAGAATCTTACGCAACCCGCAACACCCTCGTGTATTAAGCGCGTCTTCGCTGCGTATTCTACCCCTGCAATTGTGAAATATCGGCCGGAATCATGAATTGAACATTATTTCAGACAAGTAAATTAAATATCTTGAAGACAGTGTCATTAGCGAATGCATGCCATAACTTAAGGGAAAACATTTTAACAATATGATACTTGATAACCATGTCCAAATCAGGGCAAAGAACAAACCTATACTTATGAGAAAGTCTTTCATTTATTAATGTATTTGTAGAGCTTAACGTAAAAAGTGATTAAAAATCACGTGACTAGTAGAATGTGATGTGTAATATATTGCAATAGCGAAGCATTGGTGGGTCCCCCAGTTTGAAATAACTGCAGTTGTTTATGATATAATTTATCTGTTTGAATTGTGATTTATCATAGTGAGTAATTCAGCGTAAATTCTCTCCTTGTCTATTTAGCTTCATTTTTCTCCTATGGCCCTAAGTTAAAAAGATTAGCACGAGCAATTTCCACACTAAGATTTGAGCCTTTACACACCACAAGGGCAAGCCTTTAACCAGTACACACACAACCATCTTCCAGACAAGTGATAACGCAGAATGTGACTATATAAAATGAAGTCTTACAGTGTTCTCCAAAAAAAATTCTTTGATAAACCAAAATTTTTAGTTAGTAAAAACATTCTTTTAAATACTGAGGAATGAAAAATTGCTTTGAAATATCAAAAATTTGTATTTCTGGTTTTCCAGGTTTGCCTAAATAATTTAATTCAAAATTTCAATGGAGAACAAATAAATAATGGGTTTGCATTATAATAATTATAATAATAATAATAATAATAATAATAATAATAATAATAATAATAATAATAATAATAAAAAGAAAGAAAGAAAGAAAGAAAAAACATCAGTATTTTCAATACAAATTCAAAGTACATGTTCAAATACATATTTTCAATACAAAATACGAAAGTATCGAAAATACATATTTGAAATCCATTTATTTGCGATACTGCCTAACTTAAGACATATACTACTTACTACATATGATACTGATGAAATATTGTATGTCTATGATTGTATCCTCCAATTCCATTAAAACAATAATTTCTTAACATTTAATAATAATTAGCCATTGTTCTTATATTCCACAAACTTACTACAGTTGTTTTTTGCAGACTTCCATTTCCCGTTTCAAATGGACAGAATTGAAGGGGG